TGGTGCTCTAATCCACTGCTGGAAACAGAATCACTACAACATAACTTCACGAGCAGTTATAAAATAGTAATACTTAAAAAGTTTTTGTTCACAGTAACTACATTCTTCTAAGTATTTAACTACACACAGGAAAATATTTCATCTGTAAAAAATTTAACTTTATCACTTATCTAAATTTATGACACCCCAGAACAATAAAATGGGAAAAATGGAATCAATTTGTGAGTAGACTAAAATGAGATGTTACACAAAACCAATGATACGGATGAAAAATGTTTAAGAATTTGAAAAGCAAAGAAGACAGAGCCAGGATTGAAACAATTTCTGAAGAACAATGGCTCAAATATTATCAGGAAATTTTGGTAGATGAAAACAAGGAAATGGGTACAAAAAAAGAAATGGTTGGACAATTTTCCACAATTAAAGTGCAACATTTGGACTAGGCAATAAAGTAGACAAAAAAGAGAAAAGCACCAGTAGGTGATGGAACACAGACATGTGTAAGTATGGTAGCAAAAAATTAAAAATAGTACTTCAAAAAAAAAACAGAATACAGTGCTAGAACATAAACTTTTGTAAAATGGCTCATTCTGCAAATAAGCTACACTTGTTTCGGTTGTTTTATAACCGAAATCTACCTTGAATATCATATGAGAAAACTACTATTTTCATCCAAATATTTTATACCCAGTCTCTCAATAATTGTAACTTTGGTAAAGGTTGTACAATAATCAAACTAACAGTAACTAATCAAGTGCATGTCACATATTAACAGTGTGTCATTGTCCTATGAATAAGAATGGCATGATATGCATATAGAACAAAAAATTTCTAAGTATAGGTGTGCTGCACACACACACACACACACAGTGCTAGATTTACCTTTATTATTTCTGACAAGAGATCTCCTTCTTTGCTCAAGCCATTCACACCATTGGAAATTTTCAGTTTCTTCAGAATATCTATTTCCTCCATTAGTTTTGCTCTGTCAGCAATCAGGAATGCAACCTGGAAACATAAAGAGTTCCACATGACAGGCTGACACAGAGATGGTACTGAAATTGAATACATTCAGAGAGAATTCAAGATGGAAGAATACAGACCCAAACTGAGAGAAATAGACTAGAATGATTTGGTTGGACATGCAAAAAAAAGAAAATATATGAGCATAAGTAAAGTAAAGTTTGTCCCACTATACGCCATGTAGGCGTTTGGGGTGAGTGGAGGTATAGCTCCTCTCTTCCTTGACCTCGGCACTAGATGGGGGTGAGTGGTCAGCATCACGCCCCGGCCGGCTTACAAATGACAAGTAAAATAAGACCTAGGAGCAGACCATGCACACAACAGTTAGACCAAGAGATGTAGAGAGGAAAGGAGGGTAGATAAAATGTAAGAATCGGCAGATAGACACTGTTAAAAACTCCTATACAAAAGATGACCCACATGCATAAATGACTTACACAACAAAAAGAATGCATTAAAAATCCAAAATTTTTAGCTGACTTTCAACTTCTAAAATCAAAATAAACTCTATTTACTGCAGCATACAGGGTAATCCAAGAAATAAGTTACACTTCTGTGTCAACAATATTTTCATGTTTGCTTGCACACATTTGTATTCATAGGTTACTACTGCACTAAGAATTTGCATCACACTTACAGACAGAAAACCCAAGTAATTATATACATGAGATGTGACCACATTTGGTTAAGAATTATTTTCATGAAAAAAACAATAAATTCAATACACCAATGGTTAAATTTTACAAGTGTCATTCTAAGGCTGTTATCACTGTACATGTGTCTGTGCTTCACGGATTTTTAAATGTTCTTGCCTGACCACTCAACAAAAACTGCTCCTTGATGTTTAAATGGAAAATATAGGCTATCTGAAAACAGACAACCTAACATTTTGATTTTACACAGAATTTCCAAGTTATTTTCATAAAATAATTCTCAGTCCTTTTTTTATTTAATAATTTATTGCAAATTTTACTATTGTTTACACCTAACATTTCAGACATTACAAAATCAAATCTCAGTACAAAGAGTGGCTACCTCAAGTGCAGCTTTTCAAAGTCTATCTTAATCCTTCAGGCAAATGCTCATATATTTTAAAATATGCCATGACCATTTCACTCTACATCCTTCCAAACATCCTAATATTTGATACTATATAATCTATGCAGTTGATTCATAATTATACCTGTTCCCCCAGTGACTCTTCTGCAATACAATGCAGCCCACTTTTCTCCAATAATGTGGCAAGAGTTGCAGTCTGCTGCTGCGAAGATTCGAGCTTTGTCCGCAATGATAAAGTCTCAGACTCAAGATGATCAGCGCGCTTTTCTGCAAGACCTCGAATATGTCCAATGTAACTCTCCATCTCCTAAAATTAAACAATTAATTGTAAAGTGGTCAGATTTCACCATCACCGCGGGTTCTGCAGGGGACTAGTATGGTCACTAAGATGAAACATTTTTACCTCCATTTCTTCACTCCTAAGATCACGCAGTTTGTCCAGTTGCCTGCGTGAACTTCGCAAATTGCTCTCTGCATCCACCAGCCATCGCCACACATGAAGTAAACGTTCTTCAACACGAAGACCTTCAAAATCCAATCCCTCCTTTTCAAATCTCTGCTGTATCTCAGACCATTCATCTTCACACTAACAAAGAAGTTTTAACTTGAGCAGAGTAGGTTAATGTGTGCCATGCTTTCATATTTCAGGTGTGATTTTGTGTAAAACCGAATGTAATTTTGACTGCTTGTAACAAACACACAAAAGGATATGGACATCAACCTAAATTACCTCGCTACTCTTACGGCTCATTTCTCCAGACCTACTTCAGGTTCTTGACTACTTGAAGACGAACATATAACTCATCCCGTTTAATTAATAACATATCGCTGTTCTTCACTGAAATAAGAAATTAACATGTAATGCACACAGGTGTTTTTATACCTAAACTTTTGCTGCGTTGCGGTTATTGCAAAAGGCCAACGCCGCCCTTTTTAAGAGGTTAAGAATATATAACCGATCACCATCTGCTGCCCAATCCCACGAAATTTGCAGGCGGTAGATCAGTCGGTAGAAAGGTTAACTACTATGAAACCCATAGAAGTTTAAACATTTGGGGTCACTAATACAGCGGTGTCTGCAATACAATACACCATTAAAGCCATTGAAATTAACCCAGATCGGAACTTTAATAGGGAGGGGTGATGGTCTGGTGAATATGAGCATTCTTCCCATATTTATTGTGTTTGTCCCTATTAGCATCTTGAATTCTTCAATCATTACCCACATTCTTAAGATACAGAGAAGTTACCTCAGCATTATTTAGGGTACAGGTTCTATTTCATCGCCAAACACTTCTCTTTGGCTGCACCTTCGATCATGTTTAAAATAGTTTCGGACTTCCTACTCATTTATAGTTTTATTAAATTTGTTAAATGGTTCAGTCAATAGGATGAACATACTACAACTCAATGATTTATTCCCTATATTATGCACATTAATTTTTGTGTAGCAGTATGACTGACCAACATCTTAATAAGTGATCCACTCATAATGTTGATATGAAAGAAAAATCAAAGAACAGAACAAATAAAACCCACAGAAAAATAAACATTGAACTGTGAGTAACTCTAAGAAGCATTATAATTAAAATATAAAATGTATTATGGGCAGGTTGTTACTGTAGAATATAACTAGGTTTCACCCTATAATACCATCCCATGCATAACAGTGCAATGTATGGTTAAATAAACTGGTACAGGAGTGCCTGAAGATGGAGATAGTATGTATCTCCTAAACTTTGATATCTACCTACAAGTCCACACAGCATTATAAACCAGAACATCAACAGGTTTCAGCTACTGCAATCCTTTCATCTATCACATCATATGATATTAAACACCCTCAACATACAATGCAGTGTTGTTAACAAGCAAACCAACCTGTAATATGCATATTTTAACTCACAGAAATGAAAAGTATTATGGGTCTTGCAGTTATACAATATTTCAACAACTTCTCCTTTCTCATGACAAAGGGAAAATTTATTTCAGTGATGTCAGCTACTATGTCTGGAGTCATGCTAATTCTACTGTAGAATACCATCACATAGTAAATGTAATTAATTCTTCTAGAAGTCACAAAAATTTCAGACAAAAATGTAGTTATATAGTTAACTGCTGAACTGTAAAAAGTAATATATTTACTTAGATCACCAACTTTTATTGCAGAAAGTAAGGATGTCAAATTGCCTGGAAAATGTCCCACTTGAAATTCTCCTGAGCCTCATTTTGTGGAACAATAAATAATGTTCTGCATAACTCTAAAGACTACGTGTTGCAAGTGTATGAAGACACAATGCTTGTTAAGTAAGAGTACAAGAATGCTGAAGTGAAAGTTACAATTTTTTTAAAAAGATAAGTCTTCTCTTCAGTTTGAAAGTAAAATTTTCAATGTTATTAAATCCTAACAATCCTTTACAATTCCATCTCACATACAATAATCTTCAGCAGTCAACACTTCTTAGAAGAATATTTAATTTGTATAGGATTACAAGTAGGAGTAAGACAGTGTGAGCCAGGAGAAATGATAATCACCATCGTTTGTCAGTGATATATATCTGTGGGCTTCTAGTACATGCTGGGTCTGCAATTCTGCAAACCTGAAAAAAACAGAAATGGCAGATTCTCTTCCAAATGTGTTTTAATATGAGTGATTAACCATCATCTGTTCAGTAGGTGAATGTGAACATTCATGTATACCTAAATGGTGCATGGTGAGTTTCACATCCTTACATAGCATGTGATGCTCAATTCAAATTTATACGTACAATACACAGTAAATGTTGTAATAATGAACTCAATGAAATTCATTTAACATGAAAATGTTTGTAAAAACTTGCAGCATGCAGTCACCTTATATGCAAGATTCTAATACAGAAATGTAACAGATACATATCTTAAACTAGAATACATAATAAAGAAACATTTGTGCTGTAATCTTTTCTAAACATTGGTAAAAGCGAACATAACTAAGACTGTATTGAGCATTTTTTTGGAAAGTTATGTGGCAAGATCCAGCATACAAATTAATCAGACATTTCAAAACGACCATAAATAACTGTTTTAAAACTATTTTTTTATCACAAGATCCATTTATAATATTGAACACCTACAATAGTATATTCCAAATAAACCACAATTTTGTATAAACTAGGAAATCTGGTCCATACATGTGTTTGTGGTTTACTTCACTGAAAGATCTGCATAGAAGTTTTACTTACCAGTACTTCTACCTGAAAATGATCAATCTTGGTAACAACGTAGTTATACAAATGGCACAAACTGAAAAAAATGTTCTATGGAGACAGATATTATAAATGAAATTCACACTTTAACAAATGTAAACTGTGCATGATAATGAAATTTGTAGGGTGTCAGATACAATTTAAGGTATTAAACATGCATGATCCACTGCTTGCATTAGCAGCCACTAAAAAGTAAAGCAGTCCTGCTACACGACATGTAGGTTGCTTGGGGGGAGAGGAGGTATAGCTACTACTCATTCTTGACCTCGGCATTAGATTGGGGTGAGTGGTCAGCATCACGCCCCAATTGCACTTCACCTCCAGGAAAGGACATTTACAATTACCCTGTATTAACAATATAACCATTTTGATTTTATTATCTTACTGGCCATTTGTAAGGCTAGAATGTGAACAAACACTAAATGAAAGAACTTATGTTCAAAAAACACAATTTTTTTGTTTCTGTAAGATGTTTGAAAAAAGTGATTGCAGCATTTTACCATTTTATGTGGTAGTCATTTTGTGTTAGTGCAGAACCTTCAAACAAATGTACAAATTCAGAATCTCTTAAGGACTGTTGCATGATAAGATAATGTCTGTATTTGATAACAGTAGTTTATCAAAGCAGAAAACTTAAGAAAAACTTTAGTTTCAAAAGACCTAAACTTTTATTTTCATTGTGTTGGGGGTACTATGTGGGCTGTGGCCAATTTTTAAAAATTCAAAATCAACCTTTAAACAAGGTAACCATGGCTATATACAACAGGGGATTTAAATCAGCATACTAAGGGGCTGCCAGCTGGACTTAAACTCCACGATTAATGATTTAGTTAGTGTGATACATGGCCACCTGGCATATGAGTAAGCCAAAACATATGGTCAATGATGGCTAGTATATGTAGTACCTTATTATTATGGATCCAACAGATTAAATATTCTATTTCACAAATAATCATAAATGTCCACTAAAGTTCTACAGTAATTACTTGCTCAAAATCTACCTCATGAATGCTCCAAAGTAAAAAAAAACAAATTATTTCACTTCCCATAGCAGGCAGAAACCTGAAGTTTAAAGGAGACCATAAGTGGATGAATTTGTCACAAGCAACTTTTTCAAGACAACGAACATCATCATGAAATTTGAAAGAAATCAGGTTCAAAGATATGACAAATTGCTATGAACTGAACCCAACAACCCCTGCTGTAATTATTAACATACTTCATCCTTCTTCAATACACATTCCTAAATATGGAGTTACACAAAAAATGTGGCCATACATTACATACAGTTTTTATTTGTGAGATGATGCAGAGACCAAGTTCATGCACAAATGGAATATGCAAGGTGTTAAATAAGTTGTAGAACTACTAGCTTGCTAGCATTTTGTACAAGTTATAAAACAGCATAAACAAAATAAAGTTCATGCAAAGTGAAGCAAATACGGATGGCGTTAACTTGCAATTTTTAATGTTCACACAAACCATGATAATGCATAATCACTTGCAAATAAAAATATTTGTGAATAGGACTTTTAATACATAAGTAATATTATTGCTGCTAATAAACCTAACTTTTTTAATACTGAATAAAGCATGCTGTGTTTGGGAAGTCAGAATCCAAGCCTACTAGCTGGTGAAAAAGCAGAAATGCAACAGGTTATATATAGTAGCAGTATTACAGTTATCAAATATATATATTAAAAAGCAGTTATAAGATTTCTTTACACATTGTTATTAAATGAGGTTCATTGGAGTTCATTAACAACATTTAATAATCATTCCTATGGCTAATATACCAAAACTCTTGAATTGAAAACCACATGAATCTGTTTAAATGTGGTCCAACAGCTCATCATATCACACATATTAGTGTCTGATGAAAATGCAAAGTCCACATGACAGGAAGATCGGGTTCCACATTGTTGTGCAACACAGCCCTGAAATGAGGTTGGCATTTTTCAGATTTCTGGACAAAGTCCCCTCTGCTTCCTGAAATGTCATTAAAGGAAATTTGTAACATGCAAGGCATTTTCATGTATAAAATAAAACAGAATTATGATGATGATGATGTCAAATGCTGAATATTAAGTGGTAATACTGTTTTACTTTCATAAGTAACCCTAACAGCAGAAACACGTGAATGCATAACCATAAATTACATTTTCATGTAAATCCTTCTTGATGTCACTTTGACATCCCTGACCTTTTACAAAACCTGGTTACAGACAAAACATCCAAGTCCAGAAGGTATAATTAGATCAAAGAGATGTAAATAGTCCCTAATGTATAACATTTACATCTCACTAATGAGAAAACATTATCCCACATGGAAGTTATAGGTTAAGCAGGACCAAAAGGTTAATCAAAATGACAAAGTTGCAAATATATGCAACAGAAACCTTTTCACACATTCATTTATACCAATATAGATTAAAAATACAATGACATAATTAAGTAAAACATTCCCATTGATATTACTGCTTTATTACTTGATGTCTGACGAAACAAAACCAGGACAATGTTAATTTATCTCAAATGCTCACTGCTTCAAGATAACGTATACAAACAAAATTAAAGCACATTTGTAAGGGGCATCAAGTTTATAACTATAGTTAGGAGCAGGCGGTGTGTAATTTAACACATGCATTTATTAAACAATTTGTTGCCATCCTTACTTGAGAAACTGATGAATTTGGATACAAGGTGCACAACTAATCAAATATTGTAATGAGTGAAAAAATGAATTTACATCCCTCATAAATCAACGATGTTTATTACATACTCAAGAGTTGCCTTAACATTTCCCGCCAAGTAGAAAGAAGGCAAACATTCTAGGTAAAATCTTCTTAGATTTGCAGAGCACCCTGCAAAAATCCCAACATCACTTAATATTTTTGTTTGTATTATAGAGTCAGAAAGAAAACACCATTGAGAAATAAAGAAAAAAACTCTGCATAACACGGATGAACATTTCCCATTACAGCTCATGCTGGCATCAGTTCATACCCTGGAAAAATCGCTCACCAACTTCAAGTACACACACAGCACACAAATAACAAGCTATTTTACAAGAGGCCACAAAAGTTGGTCAGACTGAAGGATGTATTCAACCACACTACAGTTCTCATTCTTATAAACAGTCAAATTAAGTTTAATACTAATTAAATATATCAGTTAATACACATAAAGGCTAATTAGTTCTTACATACATAACCATACATGACAATACAATTCCCCTGTACAAATTCCTAATACAGCTTTTATGCAGTTGACATTTCATTCTCATCGCAGAAGTCCACCAGTCTGACATGCGAGCATAAATATTCAAGCTATCATGAGGCAAGCAAACAAAGCCTTGCCCAACAGAAGATTCACACTCTCTACAATATGCCCAACAAACCATTTAATCAATTCACTTTTCCCCCTCCCTCTATCTGTAACTTGGGTACATTTCTACCCCTTTATCAGTCTCACCAACTTCTGGATGGTTTATACAAGGACTGCAAATCATAAAATGAAAATGTGAGAAGGATAAAGGGGAAATTAAGGAGAGGGGTTAACTTCTAAGAGATGGGACTAGAAAGTAATTTTGGGCGTGGCGTTAGTGAGGGGGTGGTGGTTCTGTAGATTGGTTTCTGCCTTCCACAGGGCGTACAGGCTTCCTGCGAGTAGGACCCGGTGAACTTGCGCCTGCTCCACCTCTTACTGACCCTCCTCGACCTCCGTAACCTCCCCCCACTACAGGTGTAGATGGAACAACTTCCCGTATAGTGCCAGTACCAGTTAGAACTCTCACTTGTTGCTGCTGCTGTGATGTTAACATTCCACCACCCCCTCCCCCAAAATTGCTCCTGATTCCTCCACGAAGGTCATGATGTTGCGGTGGCTGCTGCTGGGTTGCCAGTGATGATGAGGAAGATGCCCCGGCAGGTATCTGTTGTCTAGGTAGTGACGATGCCAGACCTGTTGCTCCAGCCGAATTTCCACTGCTGCGTGACGAAGAACGCTTTGGAACCACCAGAGATGCTGCTTTCTGTTGCTGTTGATGCATGCTGGACTGCTGCTGCGACCCTGTACCAGATGCACCGCTAGTTGATGGAGATGCACGAGAAGAGCCTGAGTTACCATCACTATTGCCCTCACTCACTGGGCTGGACCGGGAGCCCGTCTCCTCACGTTCTTTCCTACTTCCTGAAGCACAGTCCTGGGATGCCCCTTCCAGCAACAAAGAGGCAGCTCCTTCAGTTAATGTGGCCAACACTAGCTCCTGAACAAACAGGCTACGATCAGCACGTTCCTGCTCCACAGACTGTAGTTCCAAATCAGTTAAAGTGCTGTCCATGCACCTACAAACATACAAGAAAGTAAATTTGAGTGTTTAAATTAGTAAGATTAGCAAATCAAGAACATTACAATGTAACAATTCTAAGCACATTATAATAATGTATAGATCCTACTCATCCCGCGCCGTAGCCACGCGGTCTGAGGTATGATGACTGGTGATACGGAATGCGCTCTGGTTGAAGTCTCGGGGAAAGAAATTTCTCATGAGATTTTCGACCGGCGTATGGGACCAGTGCCAACCCAGCATCGTGAGGAAATTGGGGAGCTACAATGTGTAGTGCAATACAGTCATAAAAACTAGCAATGGCTGGGGGTTCGTCGTGCTGACCACACGTCACCCTATCTGGTTGGATGATCGTTCATCTCTGCTTAGGCATGTGAATATGAGGCCAGCAGCCAGCTAGTCGGCTTTGGCTCTCAGGGGGCTATTACACCACAGATTATTATTTATTATAGATCCTACTCATTCTTGACCTGGGCACAAGATGGGGGTGAGTGGTCAGCATCGCGCCCCAGGAATTCTTTACCCCTGGGAAAGGACCCCAGTTCCCATTGGATAGAAGGCTGGGTGGGCCCCAGAACCGGTCTGGATGCAGAGGCTACAGGAAAATCCTCTGCCTCCATTGGGGATTGAACCCCAGTCATCCAGTATGTAGCCAGATACTATATTACCTGAGCTATACCGGCTCCTCTTCTAATTAAATAACGTAACTAAACTAAGAAAGAGAAAGCTGAACTTTCATTGCCATTCTTCTTATTACATTTAACTAAACCTCACCTTGACAGAAGGAACTGAGAATTACTCTGTGCCGCTTGGCTCGAGCTGGCATCAAGAGGGACGGCTGTGGTGGCTGCTGTAGCTGCAGTCGCAGTCCCAGCACCTGCTGAGTTGGCAGAGGAAGCTGTCTGAGTCTGACGCCTGGGCAAACGTTCCAGCTGCTGGCGTGCTGCCTGAAAGTATACAGAAGACAAGCACGAGTTCAGCTGCACACAAGAAAAGGTTGTATGTTAAATGACTTTAAAGTCACCTTAACAAACCAAATTCAGAACATGATAATTAACTCAAATCTAATATATCCAGCTTTATGCAAGCATTTCTCCAGAATCAGATATAATGGTTGTCCCACTGTGAACTGTTTCCCTAAACTGACCAAATTCCCATCACAACAGAAGTAATGTTTACAGTGCCATGACTTGGTCTCTGAAGCTTTATATATTATGATACGGTGAAAACATAAATATAAGACTAGAATTAAAATAGGAAAGGCTTTAACTGAATATCCTACTTTGTAAACCCCATGCATGAAAAGATGTGAACTCAAATCCATTACAATCTACTTCCATCACTTCTCATAACTGCCAGTGAGGACTTGTTGGCCACTCCTTTGTTTTACATAGTATTCTTTTAAAATCATTCTACATGGAAGACTCCATTATTTAAAGAAATAATTTTATTGTAAAGTCTTAGTGATTACTTACATGAACTAGAGTCATCATATACACATAGTACAATCATTTATTTATTCAATCATTTACTTGAAAGCGATGTTTCAGTTTCTGTTATGTAAAGATGTTTTGGTCTGTGGCACTCTATCATTGTAATGATGCATATGAAATACTAGCATGTAAAGTTGAAGAATAATTATTTACCTGTAATAACACTCACTCACAGGAAGTAATACAAACATCGTCATATGAACATGACATGTTTTTTTAACATTACCACTGCCCAAAACTGTTTTGTTTCTGAACCCTAGAACTGCAGAAAACAATGGTGTCACACTATATTTCTAGGCTACATTGCATGTTTACAGCCCTTCAGATCAAATTACCCCCACCAGTTGATAATTTGAAACTGTGCTGTTATAATTCACTAATTTTAGGACAGACTAAATTAATAGTCATGAAACTGCATCTATAAGACACAAAGGCAACTTTGTCTCCTGATGTAAACACAATCCCAACTGAACTCAACACAATATGAGACATGATTAAAAGGACTTACAGACTAAATTCTTTCTTTGCTTAATATACACATGTAGTTACTCCATTTTATTAGGATGACAACTCCAAAAAATGATAAGTAGAGCACACACACATAAGAGAGATGAGAAATATGTACAAATTTTGATTTGAAAACCCAAAGAGGCCACTCCAAAGACTAAGGCATAGATGCTAGGGGTATTGCAGATAAACATGCAACTCTATTTCACAACAAATCAATTTTGATACAACCCCCCCCCCAAAAAAAAAACTCTCATTATGCAATTTTCTCTATCCTCATGTTACATCCTCTCTGAGTTCTGCACCCTGTCCTCAAACACTCTCAGCCTACAAATGCACAGAAAACAAAACTAATGTATGAATGAAACATATAAAATGAAGTCATACATAGAAACTTCACTAAAATTCAGTGTACATTTTTAGAAGAATGGCAGAGAAAGGTCTGCACTAGCATCTGAACTGAATGACTAGTATGCTATTCATGAAAAAGAAATGATTTGTCCATACCCTCACCTGCTGTCTCTCAAGTTGGAGCTGCATTTGGAGCTGTTGGAGCTGAGATGGAGTAGAACCCTGACCACCTGCAGACCTTCGTACCCCTGACAACTGAGACAGCAGCTCTGCTATTGGATCTACACTCTCACGACTTGATGGAGACAATGAAGACAAACCACCTGAGGAACTAGAAAACCACATAACACTGTCTTTCAGAAGTCACTGAAATAGTCACATATAATCAATTAATTTTTAATGGAAAATTAATATGAAGAGAAGAATTCCTTACAAATTCGAAATGACTCAAGTTCAGTGTGCAAAATGGGTTTAAAAAACACCCGTTTCTTCTTCACTGCTTCATTCACTGGAACAAGTTATACAATGCAGCTGTTACATTGGTGTATTTTCCACATTTATTTCCAAAGCCTGGCATGAGCACCATGGCTGTTAGAAAACCTTCAATTTCATGCATCTCAACAAACAAATAATACAAAACTCATCAGTAGTAGTCAATGCAATTATTTCCAGAAAACACCAATTTCAATTTCATTAAATTCTACTATAATTTTCTCTCATTAATAAAATGTACTGTGATGCTGCAGAGCAGAGCTTTTAAAAATCACCTTTTTCACTTAACTTTGTTCTCAGCAGCAAAAACTTTTGAAAAAACACTTCCATGCACTTCATAATACTCACTGCATGTGCACCAAGCTAGAGCTATGGACCATCTGCTTGCAAACCAATCTTTACAATGAATACATCCTCACCTATGTTGCATAATGCAGTGGTATTCAACCTTGGGTACACGTACCCCCGAGGGTACACAAAGACATCTTAGGGGGAATGTTAAATTTAAAAAATATATTATTTTATGATAAACTCAGTATCAGTAATGTAATTTATTTAATTTATTTTAGATGTAGATTATATACTATGCGTAACTTGAATTATACACCGACAACTTTGGGGGTACAAAGTTGAAGTGAAATTATATCTGGGAGTAGGGGAACAAAAAAGGTTGAATACCTCTGGCATAATGCATATAACAGTTTAGAATAAGCCAGAAACAGTAGTAACAGCAAATACTCAGATTTCAAAATTTAAGTTTTTTAACAGCTGCAGTAACTTTCACTTCTTACGAGGAAATTTCTGTCTACTGTCATATGGCATATCCAGATTTTACTAACAGATTGTGGGTTCAGACTGTAACCTCTATAACAGCAAGTGGGAAATTCTGGGCTACAAATAAACAGACTTAACAGACATTATGTATAACAGTATATCTTGTAATTGGAATTAATTACTTAGTCTGTTAATGCAATAACTACTAAAAAAAATATGACCAACACCACCAACTCCCTAATAGAGAATCTTTAAAGAGCCAATTATAAGAACTTGAACAAATTTACAAAATTCTTTAGTATCAAACCTAATTTTCACCAGTCTCATAAAATTTTCACCACCAGATCCTGCATGAAGCCACTTTAATCCAATCTTCATTCTAATGATTAAAATCTTACCTGAAATGCATGTTAGATCGCCTAGCTCGGGACCCACCCACTCCCCGTGATGCATGCGGTATTCTACGAACACCATGTCTTGATCCAGCTGGTTCATCGTAAAGATTACGTTAAGGATAATCAAAAGTTCTAAACTTCTATATGGAAAAGTGTGTGACAAACAATGATGCAATTCCATTTTGGTAAATTGCCCATACTGAATCACCCACCTATGTACAGCAACTTAAATCCTTTAAGTTAATGACTGGCTACTTGATTCTTAGTTTATTTAACAATGCTTTTTCAACAGCACTGGTTATATACAATATATCCCCCCGTTTCCTAATTTTTCAAGTGTTAAATATGGATGAAGGAAAAAGTGTAAAAACACTGGCATGTGAAAGCTATAAAATGTACATGAAGATTGTGGTTATCTGGTTTATAACACTAGATTGTTACAAATGTTTTGATGAAACATATCACCTCAGGGCATAAGTCCTAAAGATGTACAAGCACTTTGGTTCTCCAAAATGTTGGTATCCACCTAGAAGACTATGGAGTCACAAGCCAGAAGATCACACATTTTGGAACTCATAATAACCGAATTTATTTCCTAAAATTTGTGCAAACAAGAAGTTCAGCTCCAGTTCTCTGATATGATTTGAAGACTGAAATTAAATTTATTTTATGAAATTATCTAACCTACTGTTTCATTCTTTAACAACTGAATAAGATGGTTTCATAACATAATTATTACACAATCCACACATAAGCTACAACTAAATGAAACTGTCTAGATTACAGATGGAAAAGCAGTTAATAGCAAATAGAGCCACATTTATTACATGCAAAATGAGAAGCAATAGAACAAAAGTTAACAAAGCAAGTTCAGTTTAAATTTTACTTTGAACCATCTGATACAAACTATGTACACATAAGTACATCTGCAATGAAGATACAAAACCAAAATAAACTACCACAAAAAAAAATTCCTTCTACTATAACGCATATTCAACTGCCAGCATACATACACAAAAGCAACACAACACGAGTATTAATATAAGACAGTCATGCAACAAGAACCACTTAGGGTAAGCTCTCTCTGTCACAAACTACAGACTACATTCTGTTTGTTATTTTGAAGTTCATTACTCTGAAAATAATTCAACTTAACTGAAGAATGCAATGAATTTTGGCAGAGTATTATTTAATGATTAAATGTAATATCCTTCCCACAGAGGTCTCCACCTGCACCTGCCTTCATTTTGGAAAACTGCTGCGACATTTTAATTACATTTATGGACACTTCATTCAAAGGTGTAACTTAAAGACAAGAAAATGTTCCTCTTGGAGAGACAATCACTGGACATTGCTGTCTTCTACTTCAAAAATCAAGTACAAAAGATATCCCTGTTGGAGAGACAGCCTCAGAAAAAATAACAATCCTTCTACTTTGTGAAGATGTAGGAAAGAAGTTGTGCAGAATTGTAACTAAGAAAGTTAAAGCACGGTGATCAGAAAATTAAAGAAAACAATACAAGAAGTTAAATGGCAGACAGCAATCATAGTACATGACACTCAAAGCACACAATAATTGTCAACCTCTACTGCCCACAGAGCAACCACAAACCAAACATTTAAATAATTGCTGCGCTGGGAAGTAATTATACAGAATCCTTACTGGATTAAAGTAATAAAAGTTTCAACATTTTTGCCAGTGCTTCAATTACAAGTCCAAAACAATGTCAAAATATTTGGAAAAAATTATTTTATAGTCACATTCATTAAAATGAGAGTTTACCATACATAAACACTTACAAAGCAATAAACCTGTAGACACAAAGCAAACTGATATGTGCACAGACCTAAAAAAACATACAAAAAATATACCCAACACAAGCTACAGGAATTTCAATATGCAAAATGAAGCAAAATCTTTAGAAAATAAACAATAAAAAATTAGAGGGCAACAATTATGTAAATACTGACAAAAGTCTGACTTTAAATATATGGCAAAAGTACAAGATGAAAAGCAACAGCAAAGCCCACAGGAACAATCAATTTTCCATAACACAACAAATTTTAATAATTTTCTTTACTCTGTTATGTACCATATTATACAAATCCAAAGCACTTTCCTTGAATTTCAAGTATCTTTTATTTTTACATTTACTGAAGCTATTTAATAAATTTAATAGTTAAAAGTCTATACTGTACCCCATCTAAACACAGCACAATATGTTGAACAACCAAAATATTTAATGTAAATGTATCTCCAGTTTTGTCACTGATCATACCAGTCCTTGATGATGGAGTCAGAGATTCTCAAACACATAAGATTCAAAAGTAGAATCAATGTGGTTGTACACGCAAGAAGACTTGCTGCGTTTTATTGTCATGAAAAGATCAGATTTCATAAATTATCAACTGCACTTTTTTTGTTAGAAAACTGTTATTTCAAATTAAATTCATTCAATTCCAGAAACCAACAGAAGTAAAAATGTAAGGAATCCTGTTTTCCCTTGTTTCAGCATTTTACTTCAGTTCTATCCAGGATCATTACAGACCACAACTTAAGAGCATGGAAAATACACAACATTATGGAAAAGGCCCTTCTAATGTAATTACCAAACAAGATGGAAAATTTCCTCTTACATGAAGAAATGAACTATACATTAACTGTATTGTAGAGGCTATCCCTTTCACATAAATTGAAGATCTTGAAATGTCAGTAAATTAAATAGTTTCTCTTATGGCCCATTTTATACTCTCTAGAGATTTATATTCTTAACATAGTGCAACACATTCAAAACAATTTGTTACTCTATTTCAATGCCCTTTAGTACCTTGGAACTGCATAAATATAGTAAGACTCCTATGTACATTAAATTCTAGTTTTAACAAACTTCTGGGCACCTTATGCTATTTTAACTCGTCTGAAAAATCCCTATTACAATTAATTTTGTGAGGAACAGAAAATAAAGAAAGAACAGACTGGCATGGCAACATCTTAACCTTATTTTATTTTTAGCTCAGCATGAAGAGTGTGCGAAATGATCTCAAAACTTAGCGGAGTCCGAACTGCTAACTAACAGACTTTCTGCAGAACTTACCTCATCTTAACAAATCAAAAGGTTTACCACATCAGCACACCACATGGTCTTCTATCTTGAGTAAGTACAGGTAAGTCCACAGTTCCACAACTTATAACCCACCTCCCAAACTAAAATCAATCTCCCATCCACATTTCATTGTCTGAAGCACTCTCTTTTGAAGATGTTTTCTAATTCTTTATGTACTATATTCATGTTTCGCACATAGCTGACCCTCCTATACAATTGCCTTAAGTACAATAAACAAATATATCAAGCTCTTTGTTATATAATTCTCTCCATGTTACTTTCCATATTTCTGGAACTAATATTTCTGGTTTCAATTGTCTTCGATTTTTGTTCTCCTTACACTGAAATGCACATTGTAATGAAACTTGTAAATGTGAAATTATGTAACACTGTTCAAACATAACTTTTGCAGTTATGCTAAACAATATTATGAAATTAAAAGCTTTCTTCAATTGAAGTTTGTTAAAAATAAGAATTCACTGTACAATTAAACATAAAAATATATATTCAAACCTGGCAACATGTACATCTGCTATACAAATGTAGCAACGAGGTATCATAATCTATAAATAGTTTGTGTTGGGCAAGTTGCATTGTAGAGGATATGAGGAAGGATATCAGGTCGCGTGGCCCACTGCGATGCTCTACTGTAAGATGACCTGCAAAGTCATCCGTCACCAAGTTTGGATCTCCACCGGGCAAAGATGCACATACTGGACATACCTAGAAAACAAAAGTCACATTTCTTTATGCTTACTGAGTGCGTAAAACGTGATTGACAACAATATTAACAGTATGTCCAAATTACTAACCTAACAGTCTTTTACATTACCACAAGAAAAAAGGACATTTATGCAACAGTAAGTAAAAGACTGAAAAGTGAACTAAAAAAAGCATGTCTTCTTAATACTTAAATCTCACTTTTCAACTTCTATTAACCAAATTTCATACTACTTTTAATCAGACTCTTTGGTGGACAAAGTTCATCTCACCTTTCTCAATCATGAAACTACAGATGATAAAATCCTCTTTAAACATATTTTCCATTATTCTGGACATCTCTGTGCCTACTACACTTAAATGTACACAAAATGTTGCATACCTTTGTTTTATTAATGCAGAATGAGTATGTTATGCATTACTTCACTCTTTGTGCTCCACATGAGACTAACAGGAATCTGGTAAGACATCTAGTGAGCTCAACAATAAGAATTAAGTGAAAAGCAATATACACCCACTCTGAAAAGGCAAACTTGGTCATGTAATGTTCCAATCATCCCTTGCATTAAGAGATGTAAATACTTAAGTGTATGTCACAACATAGAGTAAAAAGTACAAGAAGATATTTCAGAGACTGGTTCTTATGTCAAAAAAAGAATGCTGATTAACAAAAAGTAAAAAGTTGATTTTAATTAAGAATGTTGACACACATTACAATGTTTTTGAACAAAAGCCAAGTATAATTAACATAACAGCCTTAAACACCACATGTCTACACCACTACCAACAGCATCTAGCAACACTGTAAACTATACCAATTAACTAAAACCCTGAAAATATGTAAACTATAAGCACAGATTGCACTTTCACCATTGCTTTCACAAAAAACATCTTACCCCTTTGCTAAGCCACTGTTTCTCCTTTCTGCTATCACTTTGTAATTACAGTGTTGCTACAGTTAAAAAGATTGAGTAGTTTAGTGGAAAATGGTGCATCAACATGTCATAGTTGTTAACATAGGAAGAAAACAATACCAAGCAATAGTCGGCATAATCATTTTTAAATACACAGTAAAATAATCATAGTATCCGATGTAAGTGCAATGTGGCAACTCTGTTATCTTAGCAACACTGTCACTTTCTTACCCGAGAAAAATGGAAAGACAATGCCAAAATTGCAGAAACAAACACAGCACTCTGGCCCTTCCTTCAGTTTCAAATCTGCTCATGATACTTTTTGTGCTCTTACTACCAAATCACCACCAGTTATATTAAAATTAGTCACTAACAACCTCATCTGGACAAATCAAAATTGAGAACAGAGGCATATGAAAAGCAAGAACTTACAACTTCAAATGATGTCTCTGAATGCTCTGATGTGACGTGCTCCTGTAAGGTTAATTCAGTAAATCCCATTTTGCCACAGTACGGACATGTGAAGGCTTGTGGTTGCTCCACCGTTAATGCTTCTCCTCCATAATACAGATCTATATAAAACATGCATGTTACATTAATGTTGAAACTTATCACTTTGGAAAACTATCAAAATGTAATCAATTCAGAATTCATTCTTGAAAACCCTATTAGGTAATTGTGCATGCATGTCCATGCTTCAGAATACACATTTAGAACTCAGACACTGATATTATTAGAGATACTGACTGCTCAATTTTCATTAATATCTGCATGAAAATACTGAGAGTGGATGACAACCTATCTTGATATTCAGTAATTCACATTCATCAACAATTAGCAAACTATAGCAGTTAACTGAAGTCATAAGAACAAATAACATAACAAATTCTTGAAAACAGAAATAACAGTTGTCTATAAAAAGGAGAGACAGTGTGTAAAACAATTATGAATGATGGAAGTGATATTGTGAACTACTTGAAAATGCCTACAGACACTGGAGAAAGCAAAATAAATATCAGTCTAAATTTTAACTGAGAACATCCAGAATGCTAGTCAGACATGTTACCACAAGTTTTCCAATGTCAAGATAACAGTGTGTATAAATGAAATCTTGGTTGCTAATATTTAGACAGACATAAAATCACAACATGCCAAACATAACTATCATACTTACCAAAATCAGACCTCGTAAGAATGCACTGCATTGGATGCTCCGTTGTGTGACGGGTAGTTGTAGCTCCTGCTTCGTAGCACAATGCACATAAATCATAATCATAGCAAATGAGGCACTTATAGCGCCGCCCACGGAAATTTCCCTTCAAACATGAATCACAGCTAACACCTAAAACAGATAAACATAAAATTAGATCTATATGTCTCTGCAGAACAAATATTTTGAGATTCTAATTTATTTACCATCTTCACTGAACAATTTACAATAAATAACTTGTTCCCTTGACACATTACTTATTTCACATAAAATTAACTCTTGCTGTGACATGTTTTACAGCAAAATTTTGCCAATTTCAGACATCACTAGTATATCTTTTATTTTCAGAGTTAACCAATTAAAATCCTAATAGCTCCACAACATGAAGCTTAAGTATAATATGATCACATACCATGTTTGTCTTTAAACCTTATTGGATACAGAGTTTATTCCTTCCTGTTACTTATGTGTAGTACTATGCAAGCATTGGCATATGCATACAGCCTGCTGAAACCTGCATTGGTTTCAATTGCTTTCATTGCAACAAAAAAATAATAATAACTGGAAGAATCTCTCAATATAGGTATAATAATTTACAAATTAAAATGAAATACATCATAAAGATACTTCATAAAACCATATTTACTGAATAAGGTAGAATAATAATAGCACAGTAACAGAAAAATAACACATGTCTCAATCTTCAGCAAATATCAGCTGGCATGAACTGTTAAGATACCCATATCTTTACAACTCTAGTAACAGCCAGATTATTTTCCCATATCAAATCATGCATCTTTACCACAAAAGCCTCAACAGGTGACAGAGAGGTCGGTCAAAACAACAACCATCTTAATTGGTGAGTCACCATTTATATTCTCAAAACAATTAAAATATTATTGTCATGCTGAATGCAAGGAACTCTTTTCTTTCATCCAGTTTCAAGCATAATGTGACTACACATCATTAATTTCAACCCAATGAAAAAAATGACCATCCACTATACTTCTGTTACTTCTAGTTGGCCCAAATTGTGAACAACTACATGATTTTGAAGTTTATATATGGTGATTTTATAAAGGCTAATATACTACAATCTTAAATGTTCACTTAAATAAACCCAAAATGATTAAAAACACAATTCACAGTAATATTTTTGGGAGTAAATATAACATTCAGTACAGTACAGCAATACATGTTATTCTCAAGAAAGAAGTATTGTACAATACTATCAATGAATTTTGGATACTCAAGAAACCAGTTAGGCTAATCCAGGTGTTAAACTAAAACACATGGTGAAGTTCATATTGGTAAACATTTGTCTCATACACTTCCTTTTCAGTTTGGACAGAAAGAGAGATATCACTATTGCTTTTCAACTTTGTTCAAGCATAAAACATTAGGGAAGTTCAAAGGGGAGAAAAAAAAGGGAGAGAGGGAGACTGAAATGAAATAGAATACATCAGCTTTTGATCTGTGCTATTATTGCAGAAGCAATAGCAGCCTTGACAGGTTTCATACAAATGAGATTAGAATAATGAAGTTTCAAGACACAGACTCATACCTTGTTTGATGTCCTCAAAAAACAACTTGGTTGACCCTTGCCCTCAAAGGGTACTCACCACAGTCAAAGCCAGATAGTAAGAACATAAAACATTTAATAAGACTGGGTCTTAAGCCTAATCCTTGTTTGGCAAATAGGTATATTGTATAAATGGCAAGATATTGTAAAGTTCTTCCACACATTTTTACCAATACCATGTAAATTATTATTTCTAAGAACATCTACTGACATAAAAATGAAATGTTATTATTGGTGACAAATCAGTAACTACATGGGGTAAAATTCAAAACTGATCTGAAACAAACGTAGAACTTCTTGAGTTGGGAAAATAAAATACCTGCATTACTGCAACACATTTTCGCCCTTCAATAACGACCCACAGTTAGCACATAAAAAACATAGCATACAATATTTCCCAAACCTTGAACAGAAATGGCCATTTTCCTTCACTTTCAATTATTCTTGTCCACAATATATGAACATCTTTCGAAACACCTGTAGTTCTCATAAATGTTGTGTGTTCATTGTTTTGTTTTATATATGACTTATTAACACTGGAGTTGTGGAATTTCTCTAGATATGGCCTAATCGGTATAAGCTACCTTGATGCTATTATAATACGTTCTGCGTACTAACTCCTGTATGTATTTGAAGTTATGTTATACTTATATTCATTATGCCATTACCAAAACTGTTAACAGCTGAAATCTCGAGCATGATTAGAGCAGCATTTCCTCAGATAAATCTTACTGGACGTGTAGCCTAATCCCAGGCAAGAACGTAGCCTATTCTCTGACCTGTAATAGCACTCACCTTCATGTCGAGACATTTCAGAGAGTACACGGAAACTCCGATCTTATTATTGTTTCTGTTGTTTTCAACAAATTCTCTAGTATCGATATTGGGTAATGATGTCAACTTCTTTCGCTCAATACATTCCCATTCACCAAAATTTACAATACACTTTATCACTAAACCTAACCCAACTAGGCCATAATGACGTCACAATTTCTGCTTTCCCGTCATTCCTCGCTTACAGCAAATAAACATGGCCGGTGTCTTGGGTCGCGTATTCATTTACGGAGGACGAGGAGCGTTGGGTGCTGCATGTGTGGCACACTTTAAGGCACAAAATTGGGTATTTATGATATAATTACATTTTTCTTTGTAAAACAGGCACTATAACAGCATAATTACATATATACAGTAGGATACTACGAAGCCTACTGAGTGGTGAAAGTCGGCAGGATTATAAACTGTCCTTCAGTTATTTTGGCAGTGGTAAAAAATGGATCACATCCAGTACAGAGTCTACAAGGAAAAAAACTTATATATTGTGTTTCTGACAATTTAGTTAGAGTGGGTTTTGATTATTTCACCCCTGACTGGGTGTGCGAGGAAGGTGACAAGGGGAGATGCTAAAGCAGAGTAGCGGAATTGACTAATTTCGCCAAAAATGGTCGATAAATGAAATGTTCGTAGTATTGATACAGTTAACAATATAAATGACCTTGTAGGAAACAGCGCAATGAGAATGACATTTTGTTCCATGATGTAAATATTGGGCTGATTATGGCTACTTTTTGTATAAATGTAGCCAGTGAATTTTAAGATTAAGTGTAAATAATGTTAAACAGTATAATCGTAGCCTGTAATACATTTTAGACTCAAGATTCCTTTCATCAGACTCAAACGAGGATGTATCCTAATACCAGTTTTTACAGCTATGCAGTTAGATAGTGATTATATATGTGAAGGGTCCACAGTAGCTTTGTTTTTTTATCGTAGTTTTAATTTAAACAAGTTTTTCTCTATAATTTGGAAATCACTATTAAATGTACTTTATTTTAAATTACTTCCATACTATAATATTGAATGGTAAGTTCTCCATGTTGGTAAGATATACTGTTTACAAAACAACCAAACTTGGTGGTTCACGTATTTATTCCAGGGAAAGGAGATCTCTGTTTTAAATTGTGAGGTGTGTGTGTGTTATTTGTATTGTCTTTGGGTGGTCTGTTGATAATTTTGTTTCTACAGAGGAATTAACAAAGTTTATATTTTTCTGAATATATGTATATGTGTGAGAATGATTGTACTGTCCAAAATTGACCTCTTTTATGATAAAATTATTTTTAACCATAAAGTTTATATAATTTGCAAAGAATATTTGGGGACAGATCACATTATCTGCAGTGGTCTTTGTGCTTTCCATTAGTCAGACATGCATGGGAAATACCAATATCTCTAAAATATGCTGTAATAGTAAATTTCTTGCAAGTTGTGAATTTGGTAGATCTTAAACCATAGTTTGCTTTATAACACTGTATGGACTTGTAGGTACGTTTTTTTTTAGTTGCTTTGTACCCCATATTTATTACTTTTCATAATATCTACAGTATTGAAAATTAGCAAAATGTCTGCAAAAGGGAGAAATGTTCCAGTCTGTAAAATATCAACATCGGTTATTGTGTACAGTAACTGCATTATTTTTCATGTAAAACACATGCGCACAGTTTCTGTTATACACAGATGTATGTATATGTTGATAATGTAAAGTGCAATAGAATTTTCATTTATCCCTGTTTCAGTGGGTGGCTTCAATTGATCTTAAAGCAAATGATCAAGCAGATGCAAACATACTTGTCAAGCATGATGAGAACTGGGTTGAACAGGTATTTAGGAACCTCCTTATACTTTAGTAAATGCTGAGTTATCTTTATCCTTCTGACATGTTTTACCTTACAACATTGTTGTTTTAAATTGTAATATCCTACATAAAAATATTAAATGCTTTCAATTTATTGGCATTCTCTTATTATTTTCTTTTTTGTTTACTTTCATGTTGTAATTTGTACTGTGACTCATATAGCCTTTCACCTCTGAAAAACTCGAGTGAAATTTCATGTCATATTTTATTGTTTTTCATATAATCAACATGTTCAGTCTTACATTTTCTGGGTAGGAAAAGGATTTATGGAACTTTTATATCCATTTGTTTGTCTCTCTCATAACCCTGAAATGACAAGTGTTTTCAAGAAATTAGTAGGATGATCATGCCATGTTGGTCCGATAATTCCTTATTTATTAGCCATTTGACATCTGTACCCATACTTTCACCTTTATTTCATCATGTTTGAGCCCTTGTATCATGTTAACATATGACAGCAGCAAATATGTTTATTTTAGGAAGTAAACGTAGTGACGCAGGTTGGAGCTTTATTGCATGGAGAAAAAATTGATGCCGTTATTTGTGTTGCTGGAGGATGGGCTGGTGGAAATGCTGCATCAAAAGGTAATTCCTCAATATTTATTTGACTGCTTAAATAAACTTATGTAGTTTGATTCGAATTAATTATTAATCAGAGCTTGCCAAAAACATTTCAGAGCTGGTAAAGAATGCTGATTTGATGTGGCGCCAGAGCGTTTGGAGTTCTACCATTGCAGCTTCAATTGCAGCACAGTTTCTGAAGGACGGTGGGTTGGTGTCCCTGCCAGGTGCCAAACCAGCACTTGGACCAACTCCTGGTATAATGAGGCTTTTCATACCCAGCTAATACAAAATGTACTTTTTACACAGTTTGAAGTTTCTTTGTTAATCATTGATATATAGTGTTGTAAAAATGTTTGGAACATGCAGCTTCCCCCCATGTTTATGGCATTTAACCATTTTCTTAACCAGAAGTCATGTGTCCTCATTTTTTCACCTAAAATTAATTTTTTATGCATGTGTAAAATATGTTTTAAGTTTTTAAATCTTTGATGCTCAGTAATAAGGGCTTAAATTAATCAGTTTGTATGCATTTAAAACCCTTCTTCCTGACTACCAATTAATAATCTAAAACATCATATCAAGCATTAGGAAACACAAGATAGTACTTTACACAAAGAGTGAACAAGCCTTACTTCAAGTAACTAGGAACCTAATATTCCAGTTTTTATACGTGCTATAATCTGCCTGATAGGTTACAGGGAGCAGAAGGGGAGTGGCATGTTACAACTAACAGTTTTTTTATGTATAACAACAGGGTGGCCCAAAGATTACAGCAGAATTACTATATAAATTACTTCTTTACAATCAAAAAAAGACTGGAAACTGTGCCTGAAAGCAAGGAACATGTCAGGTTCTCACAGTAGCGAGTATGAAGATAGCGGTCTTCTGGGCTGTTCTATATAGTCTGGTATAAGTTTACTGATGCTTCATCTCTGAAGCATCAGTAAACTTCTACCAGACTACACAGTGCAACAAACTAGTACAGTTATCTTCAAATGTTTAATCACTTGTGTGTAGTAGAAATGGTATAAAAATGTATGTTAGATGAAGTCAGACCAGAGTTACTGATTTCAATTATACACAAGTACATTATATTTCAGCCTGCTTTTTTTAATGTTGTCAGCTGTCTTCCATGCCCAAATTTCAGTTTTGTGCTCATACTGTAAAATGTACATATATATTATATAAACTGATACACTTACATAGTGCTTGTGTAAAACTGTCATGTTTGGAAGTGGCTGAAGTACAAACGGTGGTCAATTACATATTTCACTGCTTCTTTTTACCAACTGCAGGTATGATTGGATATGGAATGGCAAAGGCAGCTGTTCACCAGCTCACAAAGTCCTTAGCTGCAGATAATAGTGGACTTCCACCAAACTCTCTGTCAGTTGCTATCCTTCCAGTGACCCTCGACACGCCAATGAATCGCAAATGGATGCCAAATGCAGACTTCTCAACCTGGACACCACTTGAATTTGTAGCAGAGTAAGTACAGAGCAGCAGCAAGAAATTAGTAAAAACAAAGGCTGCTGCAACATATAAAGTTTGTTTTTTACTTTAGAAGTTACTTAGCACTGTACAATTTGAATTCTGACAAAGTACAGTAAGGGGTAGACTGGGAAGCTATTCACCTATAACTAATAATTTATTTTAACATTTTGCCATATTTCAAGAATGTAAGTAGCGATTTTTTACAAATCTGTACCCCTAAAACTATATTGTCACATATCACCATGATAACCACTTCAACAATTAATATTACTCTAGCCACATTACTGATTAAAAATGTAATGTCATATTGTGATATACATAATTAGAAGTCAGGAGAAGGACTTGAAGGTTATGTAGTTCATCCATTATCAGATTTTACACGTCCCTGTCACTGAGCATTTTTCCTAATCTTGTTGATCCTTGTGGTTGCATTGTAACTTAATAACATAATATGCCTACTAAAGCTTAAGCAATAATTCCAGATTATTTCTTCGGTGGAGCAGAGGAGAAGAACGTCCCCCAAATGGCAGCCTTGTGCATCTAGTGACAAAGAATTACACCACGGAACTATTATTGGTCTAAATGGAAACAAATGCTTCCATTTATAAAAGTTTCTGGTGCTGAATCTACTATGTAGGGTCCAAGAATATGAAGGAATTTCTATATATATTATATGTATATATAATTTGTTCATAAATGCTTTGTGTTTTTTAATTGGTGCTTGGGGAAATTATTTACTATGCAGTTATTAAATTGAATATGTTTAGCTATTAGTAAGTCTGAAAATACTCCAAAATAAAATGTCACTGTTCTTATGTATGTATGTATGTATGATGCATTAATAACCATGATGTCCAATAACTATTAGAACAGCATAGTGTGAAACCTCCATTATGTACATTCCATGACATTTTCTATCTAAGAATGTAAGTTAAGTTGAGTCATGTTTTCAGTGTTATCTGTATGTAATCCATTATATACTAGTTACATGCATTTTATTTTTGCCTTTGTTTTGAATGATATTTCAAATGAATTTTCCATTTTTATACCATTTTGTTAAGGAGAATAATATATATTTCAATTGACTTTATGTGAGACATTAAGTGCTAGTTCCTGTAATATGCCAGATTTATTCCCTGTGATGTTTGTCTTGTAACTAGAATATTGGGCATCGTTCAACACCATTAGAGATCTCAGCCTAGAAATGTTCTGGTTGTGAAGGCCTGTGGGATGGATGCAATGTTTATTACTGTTAAAATGATGTTGGATGGTTGAGGAAGAGAGATAATTTATATTGATTGCACAATTGATATTTTGGACAGCACTGAAGTAAAATAATGTATTTTGGATGGTGAACCGCAGGGTGAAATATATTTTTGTGTAAAGGTGTTAAGCATCAAATAGTGTTTTATTATAATCACATAACCTCAGTCCTTGTAATCAGTAGATGAGATGTTGATTATGAACCCTGGGCCACACTGGTTTCATAATATTTCACATCAGTAATGTAAAATGTTCTGCATATAGTATAAAATCCAAAGTCACTTATACATATGGATTCCAGTTGCTTCCATCTTCTGGTTGTAATCCATTTGTCACTAACAATATTATATCAACAATCCACCAAATTCCAACACCACCTAAAGTGAATAGTTTTCCAACAGCTGTTCCTGTTTGCCCCAAACAAAATCTGTCCATACCTAAGAAACTTAATAAAATACTGTAGATGAGGGTGTTAGCAAAGTAGTGACCACTATACCTGTAACAGTAATTATCAGCGATTAGATACACATATTCAACAAAGGTATGATATTTGGAGGTCCTGTTAGCCCTTAGCACTGCTCAACATATGAAATGAGAAATTACTGTAATCTGATGTACAGATGATTGTAGAACTAACAGATCTGAAAATTAGCCAAACTCGCAGTGAAACATCTCAGCAGCAAGAAGAAAAAAGTGACATGATCTTCCAATGTGATAGAGAAACAAAATGCCAAAATTGCTGAAACTGGGAGAAAGAAAACAATGTAAGAATCCAACATCAAAAACATGGTGTTCAGTTTTAATTAGTATCGATATAATTATCAATTTTGAAGATTTTCCTCCAAAACAAACTAACATTCTCTCCCAAAGTTCTGCAATATACCAAAGAGACCTAATCTCTGGCTGGAAAAGTGAATTCTGCATCATAACATGTCTTCCAAGTGAACTTTCAGAAAGGCAACAGTTGGCCAAAAGCAAACACAGTTTTAGCACATTCTACAGACTTGATTCGCCCCGCATGACTTATGTTCACAAAACCAAGGCTTCCTCAGGGAGTCTCATCTCTAAATACTTGAAGGCATTCGACACAATGTAACAACAGTATCAAAAACATGTTTGGAAAAATATGTAAAGTAATGTTTCAGAACTGATCACAAAGTCTTGAGGTAACCTCATAAGTCCTTACAAATGTAATTAAAGAATTGACTCATCAGTAGTACTGCTGCAAGTACATCATATGTTGACAAATGAAGGGATCCAACTCCACAGAAACTTTTATTTTATTTTGCTTTGTATAAAAGTTACCCAACAATATAAAAACACTTACTTGATACAGGGAAAGCCATCCCGTCCAAAAGTTCTTTCACCTTCACATTCTATGTCTTGTAGTACTGTGCAGTTTCTCTTTCCTTTTTCAACATCTTCATATCTATATCCACCAAACTAGGGTGAGAAAAAGTACTCATATATAAACATCATATTCAGAGTTATTTTGCACAGTGAAATTTTAATGTTATCTCAAAAATCTGAATATAAATCTTGTGAAATGTAGTACCACACACAAGTACAATAATTTTATAAACAAAAATTGCAATTTCTTTCTCCAAATTTCAAGAGTGATCTTGCAATGGAATCATTATTTACACTGTTGCATTTGTTACTATTGCACACACATTCATGTATCATTCCTCAGTTTTGCTTTATGAACATGTCATAAAATTTAGTACTATATTCAGTATTAGAGATTTTACTTTCCAATGGTTAAATTTTTCCAGTTGTTTTAGGTTGTTTGCCATTTTAATTCATTAAATTGCCTGAATTCAATAATATTACTGATTTAACAGCAATGTGGCTAATGTAATGTTAGACACACAGAAATTTGGGAAAATAAGTACAATGGAAACATGGGGAGAAAGGAATAATTATCTTCACAGAAGCTGATTCCAATGTCACCTGTTTCTGTTTGACAGTAAAGACTGAAACAGTATGAGCTATTTTACCTTAACACAGCCATAACCACCATCTTCTTCCTTTGCAGTTTTATTACCCTTATGATCTATTAGAGGGTCACAATCAATGAATTCCAATGGTCTGTGAAATAAAGAAGACATTGGTAGTTACGTGGACTTGCTGATAACACCAACAATAATAATAACCAAGCTAAGAATATTAATCTCATGGCTTCAGTAACAGTTGTGGAAAAGGTATTGATTTTAAACAGCAACCACAGAGTGAAGCCACTTTTGTGCTTGACATGTGGTGGTCCTCCTTGCAGTTTGTGTCAGAAATCCCAAATTATATGTAGTTTCCCTCTCCTTTGTCATTACATTACAACCCAGAAGACCACAATTGATAACCCTGCAAGAGTGAAATGCGTATGAACCGTTGGGCATTTAATTTTTGGAATGTTTCTACATTTCCCCATCTTCTAAATGGTAAATGGGGGGGGGGGGGGCCGAAATTAAAATTATGAGTTCTGTGCAACAAAACACTGTCTAGTCTAGTTCCTTCATACAAGTTACTTATCGAATTTATAATAAAACAGGCTGTGCAGTGACAGAAGAGGATAAAATATTCTTACCCGCTTGATTCACTATCCATAACCCGTAATACTCCACACCAGTATTAATCGACGCTACATATTTCACGAAATGAATTGTCATCGTCAAATGTGTGTTTATTATACATCTAAGAACGGAACTCACAAACTTAACCTACAAAGGAAAAGAAATTGCGGACAGCCCAATTCAATATACTTACAAAAACGAACACTTTACTAAAGGCCCATGTGGGGGATACGTTAACTCCGCCGCAGTTGTCTTACATATACAATAAAGAATAAAATATAAACAAATGAAAAGATTTTTATACATCACGGATGACCTTCCGTGTATCATATTCCACCACAGACATCACCTACGCTTACTACCATAGCATCTGCACACAGCCCCTTGCAACACAAGGATGAAAAGGCGAAACAAACACTCGATATCTTAATTATAAAAAACTAAGTTATAAGTTTATAACAAAAGAAAATCGAGAAATCAGTCAAATATTGTGCTGATATAGATTGTTCCGCACAAATAAAGTGATTTTTAAATTAAAGTGCTAATAATCTATGTCCTTCGGGTTGTTATGTTTTGGACAAACTGTCCTGAATCCATACAGAATGTATTTGCTTCAATAAACAAGAAATGCCACATTGTTTGCCATAAGCACAGATTTTGAATGTAGAATGAGTAAGAGAGTGATTTATCAGTGAATTATGTGCTACATAGTACATATCATTAATTCTATACTGACTTCTTAAATCATATATTCGTGTGTATTTTAAATCATCTCTGTATCAGATTAGGATCTCATTTGCGATATGTATGTACCCATTCACTTGCATAATCACATCAAGATTAGCCCTAGCTAAAATTAATCTGCAATCAAAATGAGTTTGTTGGCAAAGCAAATAATTACACTTTGAAATTTCGCCCTCTTAATCGCCACAATAAATTTAAAATTGACGCACATAAACAAACACAAAATCTATAAAGAAATTTTGTATTTAGGCACACATTGTTTCTTAGTATTGGTATTAAAAATAATATAAATGAAAACGTAGAGACGCAAGAAACTTGACTTCGCTTGATTCGTGAGTTTTAGGGGCCCCTTTTTTGCCTATAGGCAGTCTATATTTACTGTAAATTTGAATTATTCGTAAGTACCCTTTTTATAATTGTTGGGTGAGATGGTGGGGTACGAAGATGTGAGCTGAGCCAGGGATCTGAAAATGTCACTGAATTAGTGTCAACAGAATCTAATGTATGACTCGCAGTAATTCCTTTTATATTACCCTAAATTGTTTTTTGTTATTATACAAACATAATATATAAAGGGGGAATTTCTGAAAAGTTTCATCCCAGCATAGTAGACTACAGTGTATGTTATTTGACCAGTAGAGTAGAGTAGAGTAGAGTTTATTTACATTCCATAGATCCTTCTTAGGACCAACCAAAGGATGTAGAACATGTCATTTCATACAATATACATGCACTTCAGAACTTTCAACACACGTACAAGAACGTATTTCATTTCATTACGACTGTTCTCATGGCAAAGCATGCAGAGCTTAATTTGGGAATAACATACTCAATGTGTTTTTTCCAATTTAAGGTATTGTCGACTTGTAAGCCAAGGAATTTGTTTGTTTCAACTTCCACAATTAATTTTTCTTCAAAACCTATATTTAACCTAGGATATGTCTTGTGCTTAGTAACAAATTTTATGAAGTTTGTCTTTTCAAAATTTAGTGCCAGTTTGTTAGCTCTAAACCATTTGTTTATGTTGGCAAAGACATCATCCATGATACTTTCAAGATAGATCAACAATAATGATACTTGTATCATCAGCAAAAAGAGTAGGTTTGGATGTAGAGTTTATAGTTTCCGGCAGGTCATTTATATATATGAGGAGAAGTAAGGGTCCAAGAACTGAACCTTGTGGCACTCCGTGATTTACGATACCCCATCCTGAATAGGTATTATGATTGGTATGGGGGCTTTTAATTTCTACTTTCTGCCTTCTATTATTTAGGTAGGATTTAAACCATTGTCCTGCTTTTGGCAGGAATAAATACTCATTATGTGTAGAGGCTAATTATTCAGTAATCATTTACTTGATGTCTAGTGAAGTGTGTGGAAATAATTACAGAACTGTATACAAATTAATTTTGTATTTTAAGGACAGATAACGTATTATTTTAAGTACCGCATATGAGGTAACGGTACAGGGATGTACAAGTCTGTGGTATAGTGCATAATGCGTACATTCGATGAAGCTAACTTCAATCAGATATAATTTTATTTGTACTTTTAGGTCCTAAAATGCCTACTGTTTACATACGTTCTAGGAATTATGTTTTTTTATAAAGGATAGACCGTTAATTATTCATCATCGGTAATAATATTATTATTATTACTATGAATCTCATGGGTACGAAGACGGCATCTATTGATACAAATATGAAAGTGGTAACGCCATATTGAGCGAATGTTGCTCGTAAAGCTTGGGGTAATTTACCTTGTGATTCTACAAGTATTTGAGGAACTATTTCTCATATAGTGTTAGCAACTAATTTAACATGGGTAATAATCACTATTTAAACATTGGGAACTAGAATGAGCTGCTCGGATTCGAAAAAATCGAAGAAAAGAAAGAGCAGCAAAAGTGGAAACATGGGTGACGTTCTTGGGAAAGAATGCGGGGATG